CATTCCCAAGTAACATATACAAATGCAATGGTCATCCATGTGATATTAAAGAAACTGTGATTTATAGATAGGTAGGTAGGTAGAAAGATCCTTGTGGGGATAATAAGTTGCGATAATCAGTGTTATTCACTTCACAGCATGTCAGACCAAAGCAAAGGGCACGTCTGCGAGACACACTTTTCCATACCTTGTGTGAGACTCACCTGCTTACTTCCTTACTGTGTCATTTCATGTCAAAAAAAGGTACAAAAAGTGCAAAAACTCGCTTGACTTCCACCAGCTTCCATCGATTTAATATTTGTTGCTGCATTTCCTTTTGCTTGTTTGTTCACCATGTTCCACGAAAAATCTGCAAAGCTTTTTTGACCCACGATGATATATTTGCTCGCTTTCTTCACAGCCTCTGGATATGAGCAATACTGTGTAAATGTGTCTCTCCTGCAGTGATGACTGAAAACTAGAGCCAGACCAACTGCAGAACATTGACTCAGTATCTGGGAATGGGGACAAAGGATAAAGCTTCTTTGTACTCCTCCACGTGTGACACCTGGTTATCCTATTTACAAAGGGCAAGTCTCTTGCTAGGAACAACAAAGATATTAAGCAAGATCCGCAAGCTCTCAGGACACTGAAAGAGGACCTGAGCTTAGAGGATAAAGACTGCACCCAGGCCGAATGGGGATTTTTTAAATATATATTTATACATATAAATGGCCTAAGTGTTTTAGATGTATTAGACAGTTAATGAACATTCCCATTTTTTCTAATACTTTTCTAATAGACTTCATGCATTTCCAAAGAGCTCTAACATTATTAGTCTTTATCTCATTTCTACCTTGATTTCTCTGCTAATGTCCTGTATTGCATAAGCTTTATTTAAAACAACCATATGATTTATGTAATTGTTTCTCCAGAAGGCTTATGCCAAAGAAAAAGTCTTATTTCTGATCTCAGGAAACCTTTCAAAATAAGATTGATCCTGATGATCATTGTTTTGGACTAAATGAGGATTTGAAACAGTCTGAGCAAAGGAGAAAGAAAAGATGGCCTTTAAATGGTTCTACTATAAAGCATTTGTTTCCAGAAATGCTAATATGTTATGTGTTGTTGTAGTTACTAATAAATGGTGTTACTTAAATTGTACAGTTCTGCTGGATTTAATGAGATTAATAATCTCTTTGGAAATCTTTAAGCAGAAAACCAGGGAAACATAACGACTATGATAGTTGAAAGCTGTTGGAGATAAAAGTTCACACACCTCGTACGCCTCTATCTCTAGGAGGTAGAAATGCCAACTGTTCTAGTCCAAAACAACAATATATACCACTTCTCTGTTGTTTTCCTTCTCATCTGATGACCAGAACTGAGGGGAAAAGGGTGCCTTTGGATGTGAGTCCTTGCCTATGTCAGTCATTAATAAATAGCTACACATAGTTTTCCCTTTAGCGTCTATACAACTGTGTCTGCAGGCATGTGACTAATGATGTCAGTGAACCTTCCTTACGTGCACTAGATCCTTTAACTTCCTAACCTAAGAAAAAGTTCTCAGAGAAATAATAAAGTCATTTAACTTTCTGAACTTTGAGAAATATGTAGTGTTTAGTATATAGCATTGTTTTTTTTTGTTGTTTTTTTTGTTCTTTAAGAATAAATACACCACAACCAGCAGACATTTTAGCTGTTTGGCATTGCACGCCTACAAAAATATCCTATGCTGGCACACAAAACTTGAGGAGTCTAGATGAGTCAGAGTAGCAGTTAGTGAAAGAATTGAACTGTGGACTAGAAAACTGATGTAACTCAGTCTCTCACAGTCCTCGTTTCTTAGCAAAGAGAGTCAGATATCAATACAAGCAAGGAAGACATTACAGCAACACTTGAAACTGAAAGGCTGGCAAAACCAACACATTTTCAGCATGTGGCTCACATCTGAAAGTGTAAATTGACCACAGCTGAAACCTGTCAAATATTCAAAGATGAGATGGAAACTATTTATAGTATCTCTGAGACTATATGCATCCTACTGGAAACTCATATGGGGTGGTAATTCTGTTGTTGTTTTCCAGCATGTAATGTCACACTTTGTAGGAAACATTATATAACATCTCAGTAATGACATACGTTAACTTGTGAAAGTCAGGGCTACTGGATCCTGGTTCTCACTACACAGAGGAATGATTTGTTTTCTGTTTAGTTAAGCTAATTCAAAGGTTATATACTGTATACTGCAGTAGTTGGATGTGGCCTTCCTGGTGCAGTTATAAAAAATTGCCAACTAGAAAACAAATGTTAAAAAATGCAACAAATAATCCAAATATCTAATCAGTCAATCACATAGCAACAACTCAGTGCATTCAAGGGCTACCGTGGCTCAGGGGTTTGGGAAGCGCATCTGTAACCGGAAGGTCGCTGGTTTGATCCCTCTGTCGTTGTGTCCTTGGGCAAGACACTTTACCCTACCGCCTACTGGTGTTGGCCAGAGGGGCCGATGGCGCGATATGGCAGCCTCGCTTCTGTCAGTCTGCCCCAGGGCAGCTGTGGCTACAACTGTATCTTGCCTGCACCAGTGTGTGAATGTGAGAGTGAATGAATAGTGGTATTATAAAGCGCTTTGGGTGCCTTGAAAAGCGCTATATAAATCGTTATATAAACCATTATTATTATTAACTCACCATCAGAATGGAGAAGAAAGGTGATACAACGTTGCTGATGCCAAACTGTCTGATCTCAGTAATTCAGGAACTGTTGATCTCCTGGGATTTTCCTGCACAGCCATGACTAGGGTTTGCAGAGAATAGTCCAAAAAAGAGAAAATATCCAGTGAGCTGCAAGTATGCAGTAAGTTCTCTAGGAGTGCCTTGTTGATGTCAGAACTCAGAGCAAATAGTTAGACTATTTCAAACTGATGGGAAGGCATCAATACCTGAAATAACCACTCGTTGCCATCAAGATGTCCAGAAGAAATGTGTTTCTTTCTTCACTTGTATTATATTTGCTGCAATTTCTGCTGGCCCCTTAACCAGGTGTCTCTTGAAATATATATATTTTTTAAAAATTCCAATCAGACTTTTTAGTGCTTAAATACAGGATATATAATAATGCCCTTGAATCAGAGAAGCTACAGCAGGAAAAGAATCATGCCAGGTGCCACTCATGTCAGGTAAAAACAGGAAACCGCATCTTTGCATGAGCTGACCAAAACTGGACAATAGAAGATTGGAAAGATGATTTCTGCTGCTGTATTTGGATAGCAGTGTCATAATTTGGTTTAAATAAGATGAAAGCATGCATCCATCCTACCTTGTATCAAAGGTTCACTCCAGTATATCACTCTGCCGGTGGTGTAATGATGTGGAGGGTAGTTTCTTGGATGTTTTCTTGCTTTAGCTTCCTTAGTATTAACTATGCATGATAGCAATACTGCGGCCTACCCGAATCTTGTTGATGAGCATGTACATCCCTTTATGACTTCCACCATCATACGAATCTTCTGATGGCTGGTTCTAACAGGATACATGCCATGTCACAAAGCTCAAATCATCTCAAACTGGTTTCTTGAACATAAGAAGGAGTTCACTGTGCTCAGCTGTCATCAGACATCAGTCCATGAGAGATTCTTTAGGATGTGATGGTATGAGAGATTCACATCGTGGAGCCGGCAAAGCTTCAGCTTCAGTGAAAATATATGATATATGATTTATATATAGAATGTGTAATATTTTAATATTCTGCTAATATTCTGTTAATTGTTAGAACAATGAACACACACACACATTTTTTTTATGCTTTTTGATATAATAACACTTATCAATATTGTTTCAGCAGCATGTTGATTGACTTGACAGTTAAGCTGAGCCAGCAGAAAAGTCTGACCTTTTTGTTTTGTTTGTGTAATAAGCATCTTGTTTACATATGAGATGAATAATGCAATATAATTTATGAGCGTAAGCTATTAAGTCAAGAAGTTATTTATTGTTAGTAACATTACATTTTTAATGGAGCCCAACTTTCTTATATAATACATCTGCTGCTTTTGCAGTTCTGAATAATTAGTATTTCTTATGCTGGAGGAAATATAATTCATTTAAAAATCCACTTCATAAATTAAATTCTGCACTTTAAATTAGCCAGGCAAATGACTAGGGTGCTGGACCCATTGTTCCTCCTCAGATTTCTGGCTTGAGTTGACATACTCAGATAAATGTGATTTGTTTTTTGTTTGGTTGATGGGAACTCAAAGTTGAAGTAATACTTCATATTGAAATGAAATGTCACAACAACAACCCAGTGATAAAAGCGTGTGGTATCAATAATTTACTGCAAGGTAGGGCGCCACTTTTTAGTGAGCCACTAATGACTTTGCTAATTATTATCCATGTAAAAAGTATCAGTTGACTTAATTCCCAGCAAACAAGAGTGGCTATTTCTGTTTCTTGAAATCCCTTGGCTCATTTGCAATGCTTAAGTTTATTATTTTCTTTTATCACACTTCTATCAGCGTGGAATGATTTCACAAATGATAATCATTTTAATTGCTGGTGCTTGTGTCTAAATCTTTCGCCTCTGAGTTTTTTCTTTCTGTCTGGCATTTAAAAACAAAACAAAACACCAACACCAACACAGGCCTTTGTGTGAACTGAGGGGGGACTTTCTGCTCAGGTAGTAAAATGAGCTGTGGTAACGATTCCAAGCTGCCGTTGTTTAATTTTCTAATCCTTTAAGCGCCTCCACCTTTTATTGTGTTGTATCAGAAAAATATAATTGGCTTAAATTCTTCTTTTCTTGAATTTGTTCTTTCTGAAAGTCTTACTCCCTACTACTACTGTCTTATCTTCTCAGTCTTACTATCTCTGTCCTCTCAGTACTTTTCAATCCTGATTAAAATGCACATTCTGACCTATGTGTTTTACTCTCTTCTTCTCTATTCTTATTCTGTGCCTTTATCCTCACCCCCTGCTTGTATCCCTCCCACCACCTTTCCTTCTTTCTTTTTCTTACAGTGTCCTGAGGGGCTGAGGCCAATGAAGGATGGCTCAGGTTGCTATGACTACTCCAGGGGCATTGACTGTACGGATGGCTTCAATGGAGGTTGTGAACAGCTGTGTCTCCAGCAGCTTGTGCCCCTTGAAGATGACCCAAGTTCCAGCAACGTACTCATGTTTTGCGGGTGAGAATAGCTAGTAGTAAATAGAGAAAGAGAAGACTGCAGGGTGCCAATAAAGCTTTCTTTGGAAGTAGGTTACATGAGTGATGGTTCGATTACACAAATGTAAATTTTCAAAAAATACTAAATACGAAATAACCAGTGAATAAACCATAGCTAGAAAGCCATATAGATAGATTGACAAATACATATCATACAGTTCTAGTATAGCCATTACGAGCATAATCTACAAAAACATACACAATACAAAGATGTGGAAAGAAAACTTGCATGAATTTGTCCAAACAATTCAAACCTCATACAAGTAATATTAGTGAATCTCACCTCTGAGATCGTGTTCACAGCTTCTAGCCCAGCTACTATTTTTAGACTGCTCAGTGGAAACCCCGTTCTGTTCTCTTGGCACATGTGCCTGAATGTTACGGAGGTACTGCGTCAAAACAGTGAACCTTTAACCTGATTTTCATTTTGTGGAAGCAGTGGAAGTCACAGGGAGGCAAATCTGATGGGTCTGTGAGGATTTTATATGTGTAGATTAAAAAAAAACCTCCAGCCTTGTCAGTGCACTAAGTTCCAGCACAACATGGCACATGCCAAAGTTCTCTGCATGGTACAAATGGAGCTTTGCATTGACAGCCTGAGGCAGGGGGATCTTTTGGTAGTGCACATCCTTGTGAATGTTGAAAACAAAGAGGATGACTATTATCCTGGTACCACCCTGGACATGACATTCAATGAAACTGGACTCTTAGCTAAAAAACTTCAACTTTGGCTGACAGTGAGCCTCTGTGTGATGTCATTTTGTAGAATGAAGATATTCTTGAAGGGGAAATCATGCCAAATTTCAATTAGGTATAGTTTTTGTTTGCACTTATTCATAGAACTTTTTGATTGTACCCAGTATATTGTAAATACTTAGGTTTCCATTTGAGTGCAGACTGTTTACATTCCCCAGTGCAATCACACTGTTACTTTGCAACTTGATGAAAAACACTGAAAAAAAACTACTGCACTGTGGTCCGTGGCAGCTGGAAAAGATGTGAATAGTGAACAAATGGGTCAAACACAGGACTTCCACCTGTGAGACTAGAGTTTGCATGAAAAAAGAAACAAGGTCGTTCTTAGCTGGCTGATTAAATATTTTTTTCTCGTTTAGAATTTATTGTTATCATAATTTTTCTGTTACGTGCTCAGCTTTGGGACAGGGAACCATTTTAAGGTTAGGTTAAAGAAAAGAATGATCTACACTGAATAAAACCCTTCAGGTTAGTGAGTATTTCTGCCACAAAGACCTGAACTTCTATATTGGTCTTTTTACCCAATTTCTAAAAGCAGTGATATTCCTGGAGCAATATTAAATATTATATTGTTGCTCCAAACATGAAAGGTCTGAAAAAGGGCTACAAATATTAACCAAAAATACAGGAAGTACTTCTGTCAGTGTTTTTGTTAGCTTTAGGGTTGTCCTTCCCATTTTCCTTTAAATAGCTGTCTTCTTTGAGGGTATTTATATCTCAAGACTGGCTGCTCATTTATGGAAACTGTTCTGATCATGCCAATGAAAGTTGCTTAATTCCTGGGACCTGATAACTGATAAAAGGATACTTAAAAAACATGTCTAAATGCATCTGTTGACTTTTTGATGGAAACCTAAACTTTAGCAGAAGCCTAAAGAAACATGAAGCATGCCCTCATTCTTGATCTGTGTCTGATCTGGAATGATGTCCTCATTTTCCCCAGATCATTTGGTACCCTTACACTGTGGGCAAACATGAACGTTGAGGCTCTGTCCATTTACCATGATATCCTGTTTAATTTCATAAGTGTATTTTACTAAATCACTAGCCTGTATACCCACATGTTCTGTAATAAATGCACAATGCTTTTTAAAAGTGGCCTGTGGGGGGAAAAAAAACAGATTAAATTAATAAAATCATCTGAATGGTATAACTTTGTTCTGTAATTATACAAATTGTTCATTTACAAAAATGGAAACAGATTTGCCTTCAACTACAGAAAGCCCCTGTTCCACCAGATCTGAGTATTGCCAACAGCAGTTGACATCTCCTTCCCACCGAGGTGAAGAGACATGAACAATTGCATGAGTCCTGCGCTCAGCCCTATCCAGCAGCACTAACTGCTCAGCCTGGTCTGTAAGACAGGATTGCACACAATAGTGGAAGCTATAATTGTGACTAACTGCAGAGTCTGCTGAATCCAGTGGCACTGGAATCTGTTTTAAAATGGTTTTCACCAGAGTGCTTGTGTCCACAAACTCGCCATTGATAATTGCTACTGTAGCACTTTGCATATTTAAAAGGCATTTTAGCTTTGACAGTAACAAAGTAGATTTAATGGTATATAAACTGAAAACCTGGAAAAATGTCTTTTCAAAACATTGGTTGTGATTGTCTGTGTCAGGCTGTTATTAGTCTGGGAATTCTAACGAAAATCGGTACAATTTTGGCATGCTGAGTTTCTCTGTATTGGTCTTTATAGATTGAAAATTAAAGTAGGAACATGGGAACAGCCTTGTATATAATGTCAGTCTTTCAAATCACAATCAGCCTGCTACAGCTCAATCTTCTGTTTCAAATCTTGCCAGCACTATGCTTTCACCTCAAGTGTAAACAAGGTCTCCTAGATTGCATATCATACATTGTATTGACAGTGTTTCCTTCCTCCTCAGATGCGTACAAGAGTACAAGCTGGCAGGCGATGGGCGCTCCTGTCTCCTGCAGTCAGACAACTGTGATGGACCAAAATGCCCTAAGCAGGATGTCTACTTCAATGACACCCTGTTTGGTGAGATGCTGCATGGATACAACAACAAAACCCAGCAAGTCAACTTGGGACAGATATTCCAAATGACCTTCCGGTAACTAGTGTACAAGTACATGCATTACACTTACATGACTATACAGACTAATGTTCATGTGTCATGTCTTTTTTCTTTCAATTGTCAGTGACTGTTCATTATGTTGTTCTTCACTTTTCTTTAATCTTACCTAGAATCGTGTCTCGTTCTATACGTTTATGCTTTTTCTTTCCCTTTTATTGTTTTCTTATCTATTGAAAAAAGAATCTGTTTTTATATTATTTCCAACTAAACTTGTAGACACTTAGTCTTCCCTCGAGACCTGCTGTTTCACATCTGAACAGTTTTTCTGCATCTCGAGAGACACATTGAGGCAGCTCTGAAAATCGGTAGTCAGGATTTGCCATTGGGTTGCTGCGTCTGTGCTTGCTTCAGTGTGTGTGTGTGTGTGCATGTCTATGTAGATACGTGTGTGTGACAGAGAGAGAGAGAGAAGGGCATGAGAGTGTAATGGTTGAGTGAGGATTGAGACTTATCCCATGGCAGTTCTCCTTAAACTGTCAGCTCTCTGAAAACCTGGCTCACTCTGATAAGTCACATGCTGTCTGTGAGGAAATGCTCAACACTGAGAGATGATAGGGTCTATTTATGCACAAATACAGTATCCACGGTAAACATGCTCAGCCTATATCTCACATTCTCTGTGTCTGTCGTCACTATCTCATGCGCATACTATATAGGCACTGCTTTCAGCAGGGTAACCATAAAATGCTTTTCAACTGCTCTGCCCTATGGGTCATAATAGTTGTGCTTGGCACAGGGTCATGAGTTTACAGCGCATACTTTTAAGAAACGGAGAGAAACCTTTCCGTCTTTCAAAAATGGCTAAAATTTTAGATCTAGGTAGAATTTATCCGAATGTATTAATAGTTTCTTTGGGCATCGTCGTCCTGCTAAAATCTCCGTGTACCCAGTAAGGGTGGTGAACACAAGGTAAGTGTTTCGAGTCTGCAGTTTTACACCATTAATTTCATTTTAAAATGGTCAAATTATAGTCAAAGAAGCAATTTGAATAATATTAACATAAGAGCCTGTGTAAGGTGTTTGTGTGAAGTCTTCTCTCAGAAGTGTGCTATAATTCAGGTACTGTAATTTCACATAATTCCTCAGAGAATTCAGCATTTCAGTAATCCACAGATAAGTGTATAAAAAAGGACACTTCTGCTTTAATATCCCTATATTCTTAATATAAACAGCTTTCAAAAGAAGCAGTTCTAAATGCTATTAAGTTTCATTTATTTGGGATTTAACACTCGACACAGTCATGTCAGCAACGTCCTTGAAGATGTTATTGGAACGTAGAGAAGCTGTTAAACAGAAAGAATCAGACTAATGCATCTATTAGCTAGAGTGAGTTATTGTAAAAGATGACCAATCTAACACTGTTTTTTCATGCATTCAGGAAATGTCAACTAATTACCAAAGTATACAGAACAGGTAAATACAAACTGAAAATATTTTTCTCAGAGTTTTGTTTGGACCTCACGTTATAAATTAAGAGGCTTCAGAGCATTCAAAGGAATGAAAAGCTATGGTTTAACTCCCCCATAAAGGCAACATCTGACGACCTTTTCTGTACCCACAATGACGAGTATAGACACTTAGTATACGCCTCGGGTTTTTCCAAGAGTAGCTGCAGACATCAACCTCACTAACTTCTGATGCACAACCAGTCGTTTTGTTCTAAAAGCATTCCTGGAATATAACAGAAACCACTCAGCGGTTAGTTGTGATAGTTACCTGTGATCACCTTATCAGCTCTAAGTTAAACAGGGACTGAAGAGTTATCTTTAGACAGTTTGGAAGAAAGACTGACATGTCCAGAGCTTAAACTGGGGACTAAAGGTCCAAGGTTTCCTAAAGTTTTGAGAGGCTAAACCAGTTGGTAACTTCCTCTAATACACTCAACAAGGCACAGTTTGACAGATGAGACAAAGGCACAGTTTGAGGATTATAAACCCTGGCAAAGAGGCAGTCTTTATCCCTTTGCCCTCAAACAGTAGGCTGCACAGTGGGGCCTGATCCTCCAGGCTCCAACTCCATGAGCTGGGTTATATTAAATACAGAAAGTAAATACACATGTACTCAAGACCAGGACTCTGATGACATTACAAAATTGAAACAACTAGCGTTGGGAGACCTGAGACACACAATGAGTGACATACTGGTTTTTTTTACCTTATGAGATCAATATAAAATAATATAGTGTATATGATATTGTTAAAATGTGTTTTTGGTCCCTGCTTTTAAATTTCTTGAAATTTAAAAACTTTCTTTAATGATTTTTCTTTTTAAATTTCTTCAAATCCTTTCTTGCAGGCAAGAATTAATCAAAGCTCCCTTAATAGCAGGAATTAATCCCTTAAAAATGAAGAAACTGTCAAACAGTGAATTACCAAAGAGAAGTTACAACACTATTAACTTTTCATGTTCCTCCTTTTTAGTGAATGTCTCACCTTTATACACCCTAAGGTTGTTTGGCAAGGTCTATACTCAGAAATACATTTTGCTGATTACTAAGCATCCTTTACGTATGGTTGTTGTGCTCTGTGACGCTCACTGGCACAGTGACTTGGAAGTCTTAGGAGACAGTCAAAAACCAAAAAAAGACATTAAAATAAAAGTTAGATAATTGCAAAGTTACAAACATTATGGATAAACATTTTTGGCTCTAGCTGAGACTTATAGACTTTTTTTCAACTTGGGTAAAATTGTAATTCACTAATGATTTCTATAAAGAGTTTCCCTGACACTGTCAAGGTAACTACAGACAAATCTACTTGGCTCTTAAAAGGGCCCTATTTTCAGTTCTGAACATCAAGTAAAATGACCACTCAGCCACAGCTCTCCATCCACTTTTTCTGTTTGGAATTAGTTAGGTATTGTGGTTATTTATCTTTCCAAGAAGTTAAGTCACACTTCAGAGAGAACATTTATAGAGAACTTTTCCTGTTTTCCATCGCAGCCTTCATTTTCTTACACCTGTGCAATTTGCACCTGTGCTTTGAAGCTAGAAAAATTTCCATGCTAATTGCAAGATGCATACTTAGCTACACTTACATGGTTCCCTGCAGTTAAAGGCACACTTGGCTGATTACATGCAGATGACAGGCAAAGTGCACTTCCAGGCTGATGTGCCTGTTTGGATAAAGAACGCACACGTCTCTAGGTGCAGAGTATGTCTGAAACGAAACACGAAAAGCATTTAAATAGACCGACAGTACATGGTTCAGTACGTTTTGAAGAGAGACTAGAGGAAACAAAAAAGAAAGGTGTTACTCTGTGTACCCATTATTTAAATCAGTGTCAAATTCTGTGGGGAAAATTTTTGTTTAACCAGAATGTATTTTGTATTCATCGACCCCACTAAACTTTCATCTTTGTTTCAATTTATTTCTGTTAACGATGGAAAGTTGAGCCGGGGTAAGTCTAACCAGAAAGGCTCAGCTCACAGTAGGTTGGTACTTGCCTTGCAGTGTCATTAATTAAACATGTGTATTATGCCATGTTATCTTACTGTGGTACTTACTGTGCTTATCAAATCCACTGTCATTTGTCAAAAGAACATTAGCTTTGTCTTCGTAATGATTTTGCTCCCATAAGAACCTACTTCACACTCTGTGCATTTGTA